TTTTGTGGTGGCAAAGAATTGGAAATTGAAAGGATGCCCACCAACTGGGGCATGGCTAAGCAACTTGTGGTATATAAATGCAATGGAATACTATTGTGCTATAAGAAATGATGAACAGGCTGACTTCAGAAAAACCTGGAAAGACTTGTATGATCTGATGCTGAGTGAAGTGAGAAGAACCAAGAGAACGTTGTACAAAATAACAGCTACGTTGTGCGATGACTAATATTGACAAACTTAACCCTTCTCAGCAATACAAGGATCTAAGACATCTCCAGGGGCTTCATGATGGAAAATGCTATCCACATCCAAAGAAAACTATGGAAGTTGAATTGCTACCTTTTTTTCCCTCTCTTCTGTTGAGTTTTGTTTCCTCTTTCTGATGGTTCCTCCTATTAGTTTTAATTTTTATTTACAACATCACTAATGTGAAAATATGTTTAATAGGAATGTAAATGCATAGCCTATATCAGATTGTGCGCTGTCTTGGGGAGGGTGGTGGAGAGGAAGGGGGAGAAAAATTTTCAACTCAAAAGCATATGGAAGTGATTGTTGATAAATCAAAATAAATTAATAAAATAAATTTAAAAATCAAAAAAATAATAAAATTAAATTAAAAGAATAAAAAAAGAAAAAAAAAGAATTTATTGTCCTCATCAGCCTGGTATTACAGTTATTTCTCCATGCATTCAGCAAACTAGGATGGCGTACGTGAACATTTTAAAATTGTAAAGTGCTATACAAATATAAAGTTATGCCAACCATCATGACCATCTCTCCAACCACACTAGCCTCTTGGAAGGTAGGTAGTGTATTAACTTTTTTTTAAATTTGTCATAAATACTTCTTTTTACCTGGTGTAGAGCAGCAGTATCTTCATCCTATAAGAGAAAGATGTTTCTGGGACCCATGCATTCATCATAACCTCTGTGTTTCTGCTGCTAAATAGTGACAACAGTGGCTTCTAGATCATGTCCACATTGTAATATAGCTACCCAGAGCAGAATATTGTAGGAATTGTCCACGATTCCATATCCCTGATATCTCATGGAAATAAGATCATGGAGAAAAACCTAACATTTGTATCTACACGCAGGATCCAATTCAGGCTGTGCATCAGACCTAAGTATGAGTCTCAAGAGTTCTGCAACATAGGCTTATTCACCAGCTGGGAACATGATGAGCTCATTTCCCTTCTTGATATTAATAGCAGCTGACATTTGCACAGGAATAGGTCTGCAAAGCATTTTACAGACATGATCTCATTTGATCTTCACAACAATCTTCTGAGGTAGGCATTACCTATATTATTTTCCTCATTTTACAGATAAGGAAACTTGGACTTAGAGAGGTGAAGAGAAGTTACACAGCTAGGGTCAGGAATGGTATCTGAAAACCTGGGTTCCACCTCACTCCAACTTCAATGCTCTTTTCAAGCTAGCATGATGCCTCTCATTAAGGGAAAATTTTTTTAAAAAGCCTTTGGTTTACTCATTCTTTCATAGCACCCTTCCTCCTCTTTACATACTTTATAGTTTTTCATGAAAAAAAAAAAATTCAAGGGCTCACTGAGACCTATATATATATAAAAGTCAAATGCGCTTTAAGCCAAAGGTTCTTAACCTAGTGTCTAGGAAATCTGCTTGTTTTTTAAAAATATATTTATAAACATTCCAACACAATTTGTCTCCTCTGCAATCCTATGTATTTTATGTGTTTAAAAAAATTATTCTGACCAGAGCACTATAACAGAAAAAAAGTTAAGAACCTCTGCTTTAAACATAGTCTTCTTTTCTTACCTTTTAAGCAGAGATTTCTGAGATAGGAGAAAGGAGCATTCTAGGAACATAAAATAAAAATTACTTTTAAAAATTGATTAAAAAAATTGTAAGAATTCTTCTGTATCATCCCTTTAGAATGTTTGGCAAAAATTCTCAGTACCTATAAATGCAGTTAAATAGCTGGTCAAAGAATAAAAAGAATAAATTGCACTAATTTTGATTTTTTTTTACTATTATGAAAAGCCATAAGCATAATAATTCAAAGCTATGTGAAATACAGTTGATTTACAATGAATTAAATCTTTAAATACATTAATTTAATTCAACAACCTTTACTGAGCATTGACCTTAAGAGACAGAAGATATAACTGGTCTAATAATTTAAAACACTACATCATCACCTTTTTGGTACACCCATCAGACTACAAATTACATAATGCTAATCATTTAAAATGCAATGTTTTCTTTTCTTATAAAGGAAAAGACTTCATCTAAGAAAATTACACTACAACCACAATAACAGCTATCTAGGAAAAATTAAGGGAAACCTCTAAATAAGCTATTTTTAATTCTTGAACTATATTCAGATACTATCTTAAGGACTTCTTGGCTTTAAAAGTTTTGCTTTTAGGGGCAGCTAGGTGGCACAGTGGATACAGCACCAGCCCTGAAGTCAGGATGACCCGAGTTCAAATCCGGTCTCAGACCAAACCACTTGCCACTTGCTAGCTGCATGACCCTGGGCAAGTCACTTAACCCCAATTGCCTAAAAAAGAAAAAAAAGTTTTGTTTTTAATTGAAGCCTAAGAGAGAGAAAACTAAAGTCAATGAATAGCTCCTTATATTCAATCAAAACATTACCACATTCCTGTCTTTGTTGGCTACTACAGTTCAGGTGGGGAGACTAGGTGCACAGCACCCCAAGATCTGGAAAAATCCATGTAAAAATTTTTAGCCCTCTCTATGTACCAGATAAGAAGTCTGAATTATTACGGTATTAAGAGATAAAAAGTGTTAATATTACACAATGTTATACATATAGTTCATGCATTTCCGAGTTTCCAAACTTTTTCCTATGTTGACTGCTGGCCTTTGCGTGTCATCTGTGACTTCTGCAAAACTCCCCCAAAATTTCCATTTAATTTCTTATGCCACCCATAATATATTGAAACCTCAATAGGAAAGTCATGATGTGGAAGGGAAAACTAGACTATACTTTAGTGGCCCATTATTAAGTTCTCTCAATTAGTTAACAAAAAAAAGTTTCTCTAACAAACATAAAAAAGGGAAAATTTCTAAAAAGAGAGGAAAACCCAGGAAATTATGATAGTTTTTCAACAGATATTCATAACTGAAAAGGGAGAAGTTTAACATAAATTCTTCTTCCATTTACCTCCTACTTAATGACAAAGATTTTGAAATATGAAAGACATTGCCTAATTTTCTAGTACCAACAGCCCTCAACTTACAAATACCTGATTTACAAACAACCTTTTAAGTACTTTATAATGCTGGCTCTACTTTCCCCTGGTAATAAGCAAGAGAGCTTGAGTCTAGCCTTCTTAACACTATCAAATATGTACAACATTGTTTCCTAAGGAGAAAGAAGATCTGAATTTCAAACAACTTGATTTACAAACCGACCTTTGGAACAGAACCCTTTTGCAACATGGATATTTGCTCTAAATTTTCTGGTCACCTTATGATTTACTCACTAGATGGTACTATGAGGCAAGGAGTGCTCAAAAGACCTAAGTTTAAATCCTAGCCACCCTAAGACCCACTGACCTTGGGCAATTTGTTTAACCTCTTTGGGCTTGTTTCCTTATCTGAAATGTGGGTTCTTAAAGAGGACCCACTGTGGATGGATTTCAGGAGTCCATCAACTTGGACAGGAAAAAAAATCTTTATTTTTCACTAACTTCTAACTGAAAACTAGCATTTCCTTCAATTCTTTAAAAACACTATTCTGTGAAAGGATCCATAGGTTTTTACCATGGACTAAAGGGGTCCATGAATAAAATTAAAAAACTTTAAGAACACCTGAACTAGATAGTATCAGTCCCATAGACTATACTCTCTTCTCAAAGGGATCCTTCAATAACCAGATCATCAGAACATTTAACATTAAAAATAAAACTAACCCTTCTGAAGATTCTGTTTAATCATCTTTTAAGATCTTTATCCTTAGTGATATCAATAAAGGAAATGTTTTCCCATGTAAATCTTGGATTTCTAGACCTCTAGATAAACAGAGTTTAGTCACTGGACCAATTCCCTTACTTGGCAGAGGAGGAAACAAACCAGAAGAAGGACTTGTACAAATGGATCGTTAAAGGACTAAGAATAAGATTCATGCCTCTCTTTTCAATATACTCTTCTGTCTTCCTCTGAGATAACAAGTGACAGAAAGTAAAAAGAAGTATTCTTGGAATAAATGCCATTTATCAGAAATATTTATTTAGCCTGTTTTGAGTTCTTTAACAGTAATGTACACCGACTCTATTCCATCCTAACATTTTAGCCAACCTCATATTTTCAGTCAGTTTTCAACAAGGATCTTTTCTACTGGAATCATCCTCATCCTTTTCATGGTGAATCTTAATTCAGGCATTCCCCTAATTTAGGAATAAGTCATATTGCAGAAAGTCAGTAATTTTTTGGGACCTTGGAATCTTTTCCCATAAATGTTATAAAGGGTGTTTAGGTTTCCAGGTTGGTTCACAAAAAAAAAAAAAGGACAAACTATAATTTGGCTGACATGTTAGACAGGAATAGGAATACCCAAAAGAAGACAATCACTTGTCCTTTTCTTGGGTGAGAGAGCACAAGATCTGTTGAAGACAAAATTCTGAGACTGGAGATGTTAAAGACAAACTTTGCCTATATGCTTCCTGTACCTTTTCTCTTACCGCCTAATCCCTCTTTTGCCAGACTCTCAGTAGTCTCAGGCTGACTTAATAAACACAATCCTAAACACAAATCCCTACCACCACCATCACTACCAGACATAGACCTGTTCTCACACCTAAAGTTCTCCAGATATTCCACATCTGTTTCCCTCTGTTTATGCTGCAAATGAAGGCTACAATTTCCATAGCAATTTATCTCAGCTAGGAGTTGGAAGGAAAGCTACCTGAATTTAAAATAATGTATTAAAAAAAAAAAGAAAGTCCAGACAAATTTCCCAAGTATTTTTATTTTTTAAAGAGGCTTGTAAAAACAAATTAATTTTTAATTAGTGCAATCACAGGCAGTATTTAAAGAGAATAAATTCAAGCAACAGAATGGATCAAGAAATTTTAGAAGCAGGTTGGCCTTGCATAGCATTTTGCTCTGGATTTGGCTTCACTAAGCTGTCTTTCAGTTTCTTCTCTTTCTCCATTTCCGAAACAACAGACTATCTAAAAGTTCCAAGTTTTGTTTTGTTTGTTTGTTTTCATGGCAGCTACCATGGCAGTGCAGGCTCTGGCAGGGAAAGGGAGGGACAAGAGCTCTTTGAGTCAGTGTTTGTAAGTCAAGAATGACCTGTACAGTAAATGAGCTATGGCAATACAAGGAACTTTTATGAATCTTTCCAAATAAATATAAAAATGAAGTTCGCAAACCTAGAAATTCAGATCTAAAGCCATATTTACATTACACACACAAATGCTTATATGTACGTAAACATACACAAACACATGGATATTATAAGAGACAATTGAATAATGAACAATGACTCTGGAAGTGCTGATAAGCATTGGTAGAGGAAATTCCTTATTGCTAGCTTCCTTCATCAATGAAATGAAGGAAGGAAGGGAGGAAGGAAAGGAGGAAGGGAGGAAAAGAAGGAAAGGAAAGGAGAGAGGGAGGGAAGGGAAGGCAAAAAACTAAGACACTCCCAAGGATAAACTTCACCTGACAGTACCATCTCTTCAACTTATAGCCTAAGCTTAGAGAACTCTCTATAGAAGCACTGAGAGGTTAAGTGACTGCCCAGGGTCACATGGCCAGGATTTATTAGAGGTCAGATTTAAAGCCAGATATTCCTGACTCCCAGGCCAGCTTTCTTCTCACTCTATTAGGCTGCCTCCACTTTCATATCATGCAATACTACTTACCAGATCCTCAATAAAGTTAGCTTTGATTCCATTTATGTTTTTAAAGTTGATTTAGACATATTATATTTGGTATATATACAATGAATACAATAACAGAAAGTGTTTTGCAGACATGAAGAGTTAGAGAATACATATCTAGATGAATGGTTCTTAACCTGGGGTCCAAGACCTCGTTTTCTTTAAAATATTTTGATAACTATATTTCAATATAATTGGTGTCCTTTGTAATCTTACGTATTTTTTAATTCCTTTAAAAACATTCTGAGAAAGGGTCAATAGCTTTTTTTCAAACTGACAAAGGGGGACCATGACAGAAGAAAGGTTAACAATCCCTGATCTAGACAGAGAAATATTTTGTCCTTCCCCAAGATCAGACAACGATTCTTGTTGACAAAGCTGGCAAGATTGTCTCAGTGAAAAGATGGGATTTCCTATACAAGAGGTATACCTGTCAGGCACACAGGAAGTAGATGGCAATCATAAGGAAAATACTTTCTACTTCTGTTCTAAATACATACTTTAAATTATATCGCATAAAAAGAGGTCTGATCGCTTTAAGTAGTCTCTAACAGAGGCAAGGCTGCAAAACTACAGATCTCTAGCTGTCAGTAAAGAAACCAAATGTATGCTAATGTCTATCTATCTGATGGAAGAAAAGACCTCAGAGGTCTCAGAAACCCTCAGAGGTCATCTCATTTAACCCTGCTACTCTTTCATGTGAGGTCACTAGAAAGATGGTATGACTTCCTAAAGGTCACACAAATAATTTCAGAGTTAAGATTATTCCCCAGGTCTGCTTCTATTAGTGCCTTTTCCACTAGCCAAACTGACTGACATAAAAGCTGGCTACCAAGAAGACTTTGATCTGAAAATGACTATCATAGGGGTTTTACACAAAGGTAGCCCTGAAGGAAGAGGCACCTGAGATTACTATAGCCAACTAACAACACTGCTGTAATAAACTGCAAGTAGACAGCTTCTCTAACCAGAGAAAAGCAAAGTGAAATAAATATAAGCTACCTGACAAAGGTTTTAGACACCACACTGCTTTGTAGCCCTTAATTGCAAAGTCAGAACTTGTATATACCCCCAAAGAGTTTTTTGTGTTAAGGGAAAATTCAGGCTGAGTTAGAGAGAAGGTTTTATCAAGCAGTGGTAACAGCTTCAAATTAGTAAGAATGAGCCAATTTGATACTTCGGGTAATATCCCTAGGTACCTATATTGCTTCTTTAATGATTGCTTTAAAATAGTGTCATCCTTTTAAATAATATTATGCTGGAAATAGGTAATTGCTTCTCTTCAGCTAATCTAAGAACTTCTGTTTTTATAGAAAAAGCATGTTAATCTATGTTGTTGATGAATTTGAAACTGGATTGTACTGGCCATTTAAACTTCAAAACTATTGTTCATTCACCACTATTCACCTAGAACAGGGATTATTGACCCTTACGAGTGACAAAGACTCAACTTGGCAGTCTGTTAACAACTGACCCCATCTAAGAATGTTAAGTGCATAAAAAACAGAGGATTACAAAGAAAAGCAATTCTATTAAAATATAATCTGTAGATAGAAAGATTGATCAGGTATAATCTAGCAGCAAGTCTAATAACTATGATAATTTTTGAAGTAGTAATAAGCATAAACAATACTGAGTACTCTATAACAACTGGAATGTGATATAAAAACTTCTACTGGTGAAAGTCGCAGGTACTGCTACTACCACCAGAGTTTGTTGTCTACACTCAACAATTGAAAGAATTGTTAAATTTCAAGTAGATGTTGGTAAAACTAAAAAAGCAAATTTTTTTGCATCCAAGTTCATGGGCCTCCTGAAACTTCCCCCCACATACCAGGTTAAGAGCCACTGACCTAAAGGTAACTATAAAAACTGTACCTGGAAGGAAATATTGCTCTGAAATCTTATAAACAAAAACTATAAAGTTAGATCAAATATCAAAGAATATAAAGATTGTGGAAAGATTCACAAAAAAAGGACCAATTATTTAACTCAGACAAGATAAACTACAAAAACACTGCCAGAGTAAGGCCACATGGTTGCTTTTTTTTTAATATATGTGTGGAGGATCAATGCTAGTCATAAAAGAATAAAAGAGTTTTTAAATGGTCCCAGAAATTACCAAAAGTTAAAATAAAAATAACACTAGTATTTAAAATAATATTGGAAATAAGAAATAAAATATCTCATGTATGAGCACAGTCCTTTGCTGGACCATTATATCAGGACAAAAAAAAGTATATACCATTTTAAAATCTTCAAACTGAACAACATGCTTTTCTCTCAGAGTATTTGGGGAAACTTATACAAGGGTCTGTAACTTAATAAAATGATGGAAGAGTATTACATGGCTATTCCTACCATCTACCTACAGACTAGTCATTAAGACACGTGACAAATGGGTTTACAAAGCTTCTAAATGTGAATGTAAGACATAAGTAGCATGTGCTCAAATTTAGACTTAAGCCCCATTAGATTTTGGTTGCAATAAGTGGAAAGACGCTTTGCAAAAAAAAAAAATTTAAACTGAGAAATAATTTAAAATTGTATTCTCAGAGTAAGATTAGCCTCAAACAGTTAAACTATTATTCTGGCATTTGCCTGCAATAAGAATTTTTTCCCCACTTTTCTAGACAGAAAATCTATTCCTCTCACAATCTGTGCTCAGGGATTTTTAACATTATGGGTATCTGTCTGGCCTTCTTTGTAAAAGGAGGACTTTCCAAAAGTCCTAATTTGGCTTTTGAAGACTACAGCATTTCTCAACTGTAGATTAATGACTGATATCCATATGCCAATAAAAAAAAAGTTTATAATTTTGGTTTTTAATATCTGTCCTTCACTGTTTTTTTTTATCCTAGGCATGATAAGAGTTTTTGTGTTAAGCTTGATTCCTAACAAACTATTTTTTTTAAACATGCGTGATTACTATATTCTTTAACCAAGGGCTTTTCTTTAAGAAATTTAAAGATACTAGTGGATCAAAATTATTTTAGATATACCTTAAGTATCAAAAATCCTTAAAACTAAATTAAATTAATAACTTTTAATGTACAAGAGGAAAGAACGTAGGTCTAAATTATACAGTAGAAAACCATGGCTTATAGCATTTCAATAGTCTTAGCTTTACTAATAATACATATTTTCAAATTACTAAAAGAAAGCATACTTCCTAAATCATGTACTACTAAATGATGCACTTAATTTATATTTGGAAAAAGAGTCCATTTTAGTAATTTCTATTGCTAAAGATTTTATTTTTATCTAAATTTCCTACTTTACCTATTATTCAAGATAGTACCTATCACTTTTCTTCCAAAACCTCCCAATTCTATCAATGGCATAATTTATAATCACCCACGCTTAAAATCTCATTGGTACCTTTGATTCTTCCCTTTCCCTCACCCCCCACAACCAGTTAGTTACCAAATCCTGAACATTTGTCCCACATTATACTTTGAACCCATTCTCTCCTTTCATTATCCTAGTACAGAAGTACCTTTGTTACTATACACCTGCACCCCTAGAGCAGTCTCCTAACCTATCTTCTTGACTCCACAATCATCCTTCATACCACTACCAGAGTAACATCCCTTATACCCATATCTGTTCTCATTCCTCCACTCAAACCTTCAAATGTCTCCCTACAGCCAAATGAATAAAGTCAAAGGGCCTTAGTTTGGCATTCAAAGGCCTCCATAATCTCATGCATCCCAATCATATCACATGATTCCTTACAACACTAGAGCCAACCTTTTGTCCCTCATATATATTCTATACTTACTCTGTTTGTATCTTTGCTCACCTTGTTTCCTATCCATCTCTACCTTAAGAATCCTTCTAGTCCTAGCTCAAATAGCACGTTCTTCAAGAAGTATTCCCTGATTCACCTAGGTGAAAATGATCTTTTCTTCTTGTGGCTTCACATAGCACATTGTGCCTTTTTTTGTTACCTTAATAATATTAAATACAATATTAATATTTTGCATTAGTTAATATACAATTATTAAATAGTATTATGTACCTGTGTATGCAACATGCCCACTGCTCCACTATGGGGGCATGTCTTAATTATCTATCTTCCCTTACAAGCCTATAAGAGTGCTCTTTATATAGAATATCCCAAGTCTTAGTGCAGTTTTAAGTTATTAAATCTTTCAACTGCACTAAGATTTGTGGGATACCCTATATATAGTAGGCATTTAATTATTGTATGAATATTATTACTAATACAAAACTAATTGGAAAACATAACTCCTATCTGAGTATATGTAAGTATGTTGTTTGTTATGATTTATACTCAATCTGAGTTATACTCAATTTGATGTTTACATATACATAAAAGGGTCATCCCCTCCCCCCATCAAAGCAAAATGGTAAAATAATTTTTCACATTTTGTTCATAAAGGTTTATCCTCACCTTTTTTAAGCACTTACAAAAAGTGTCCATTCCTTTTCCAATGAAATAAAGGCTCTCAACAACCAGGAGTCCTGGCACCTACATAAAGTACAATACATTTCTTTATGGCATTATATAAAATGCCCCTCCTTAATTTCTGTATATAACTAAAGAACCGTTTGTCAATTCTATAACATGGAAATAAGTAATAATCAACTACCATAATATGCCTCTGTTATGGGTAAATTCCATTTTTAAAATTAATATACAAAGATGAGCAAATCAGGATTGGAAAAGACAGTACCATTTCTCAGCATCGTTTAATTTAAACTTTGTTTTCTTAAAACCCTAACAATAGAAGCCAGTTACCTAAGAGTCTTGCTTTTCTTCTTCCTTACTCTCTAACAGAGGCAATTCTCTTCTTTAAGTGGACTATGGGCATAAATTGGAAAATCTGAGAAAAGGCAAGGAATTCTGAAGCCAAGTAATACAATGGGAAGAGCACTATCTATAGCAGAAGACCTAGCTCCGTTATCATTGAACCTGTGGTAGTTACTTAATCTGCATATCTGTTGTTTCAGCTACAATACCTGAGAGATATTTACCTTACCTACTATCTTATGGAATTATGAGTGTCAAAATAATGGATATGAAACTCCTCTGACAAGCACAAAACACTATACAAATGTGAATTCTTTCTGAAATGGAGGAAGGCAATTGGAGAAATAATTTTTTAACTCTCTTTTTCTGTAAGAATATTTTACCACAATGAACTTCATTTTGAACAGAGTATAGGACAAATTACTTGGGTGTAGTGGTGAAGAGGTCTGGGCTAGGAAGGATATTTATATGTCAGCTTCACACACTGAAAAGTGGACTGGACTAGGGAGTTAGATGGTGTGGGTTCAAACCCCACCTGGCCAGAGTTCAGATTGCCCAACATTTGTGTGATCTTGGGTAGGTCACTTGATATTTCTGAACCTCAATCCCCTGATGATAATAATATTTTTCTATATATCAAATGAGATAATGCAGAAAAAGTATTTAGTAAACATCAAAGCTTTATAAGATATAATGGTAATTCATAATGTCCTACGTGAAAATAAAGCTTTCTTACCTATAAACTACACTATAATCTGGTAGAAGGAGATGCTAACAATCTGGTGGCAGGGGAATGGAAAAGATGGTCTATAGCAAATCTATTCTAATCAAGTAGCATGTCCCAATTATTCATCATAAATTTATTTACTAAGCTTGTCTACCTTATATGCAAGACACAGTGCTAGATTTAGATTCTAGAGCTGAAACTAAAAACACCCTTTACCCTCAAGGAGATTGCAATTTAATGGGGATACATTTACAGGGATACCTATATTATATTCCCTAAAAGGAATAGGTAATTTCTTCTCTCAAGTGGCATATGGATATAAATTGGAAAATTTGAGGAAAAAAGCAACCAAACTGAATAAGTATGATATAAATAAATATGATATTATGGTTTTATATTCGTGGGAGCCAGGAGAGGGAAAGGTTCTAAGTAAGACACTGAATGTTTAGGTATTTTTCTAATGGTGACCCTGGGCTTCTAGTAGGTAGAAAGGTGGAACTTCATATAATTTCTGAATCTTAAACCTCCCCTGACTTCCCCCCCTCTCCCACTCTCTAAGCTGAAAAATCTAGCTTCATATTTTATGTAAAAAATTGAAGTCATTCATCATCAACTCCCTCTTCCTCATCTTCTATCATTAAGGTGCCTCCTGCTACTTTCACCTCCTTCACCTGTTTCACATGATGAGGTGGCCTCACTCCTTACTGAGGCTGATCCCTATTGTTCAAACAATCCCATTCCATCCTATCTCCTCCAACAGATTGCCTCCTCTGTCATCCCCATTCTTTCACTTATTTTCAGTCTCTTTCTCACTACTGGCTCATTTCCTACTGCCTACAATATGCCCCTATTTCCCCTATCCTGATAAAACCCTCACTTGATTCTTCCAGCTCTATCACTCCATTTCTCTTCTGCCCTTTGTAGTTTAACACCTTGAAAAGGAGTTACAGAAACTACAGTACATGTCCCCACCCACTGAAACTGCTCCCTCCAAAGTTACTAGTGATCTCTTAGTTGCAAAATCCAATGATCTTTTCTCAATCCTCCTTCTCTTTGACCTCTCTGCAGCGTTTGACACTGATGATACTTTCTTCCCCTTAACATTCTCTTTTTACATTTCTTAAAGAAATGATCTTGGTCAAAGAATACAGTAATCACATGTGTTTTAAAAAATTAGTTTGTTATCATGAATTAAGCTTAACACAAAAACTCTTTTTCATGCTTACATAAGAAAACAGTGAAAGGAAAGATATTAAAAACCAAAATTACAAACCGTTCTGTTTTTAGATGTAGGATATCTACTTGCTTAGTATGAGGATATCAGTCACTAATCTACAATTGAGAAATATGGTAATCTTCAAAAACCAGATTAGGACTTTTACAAAGGTTTTTGGGACACCACTTTCTCTTGGTTCTCGGTTCTCATCCTACCTATCTGACCACACCTCTGTCTCCTTTGCTAGATTTTCATCCAGATCACAACCTCTAACAGTAGGTGTTTCTAGGGTTCTGTCCTGGGTCCTCTTCTCTTCTCCCTCTATACTATTCCATTTGGTGATCTCATCAGCTCTCATGTATTTAATCTTCATCTTTATGATCTCAAATCTATATATCCTGCCCTAATCTCTCGGCAGACCTTCAATCTCATATCTCTGCCTTTCAGACATCTCAAACTGGATATCCAGAAGATGTCTTAAACTCAAAACAAACTCATTTCATGCCCAAAACAGAACTCATTATCTTCCCCCCCTAAACTGCCTCCTTCCCAGTTACTGTAGAGAGCAACATCATTCTCCTAGTGCCTCAGACAATCACCCTAGAAGTGGAATTCCTCCATATCCAAGTTGTTGCCAAGACCTACTGATTTCACTTTTGCAACATTTCTCCAACATAACTCTTCTTTCATTTAACACTCTCACCACCCTGGTACAGGCCCTCATCACCTCACACAGGAATTACTGCAATAGCTTGCTGGTGGGTTTGCCTGCTCAAGTCTCTCCCCACTCCAATCCATCCTCCATTCAAGCCACCTAAGTGATGTTCCTGAAACACAGGTCTGATCTCGTCTCCTCTCTACCCAATAAACTCCAGTGGTTTTCTATTGCCTACAGGAACAAATACAAAGTGTTCTGTTTCACATTCAAAGCCCCATATAACCTAGCCCTCTCCTACCTCTCCAGTCTTCTTACACCTTACTCCCCCCAACACATAATATTCAATCTAGTGATGATAGACTCCTGCCTGTTCCATGAAAAAGACACACTCTCTATTCTGGACATTTTCTCTGGCTATTTCCCATGCCTGAATACTCTCCCTCCTCTGCTCCTGCTACTGACTCCCTGGTTTCCTTTAAATCCCTTCCCAGACCCTACTTAATTTGAGTGATTTTCCTTTGTAAATGATTTCCTATTTATCCTGCACAAAGCTTGCTTTGTATGTATTGGTTTGCATACTGGCTTCCTCATTAGACAGTAAGCTCTTTGACAGCAGGGATTGTCTTTTCCCTCTTTTTGTATCCCCTGCACTTAGCACAGTGCCTATAGAAGGCACTTAATTTATTGAATTATTGAATTGAATTGAACTTCCTTGGAAGAGGAAATATAAGACACAACTCAACAATGATCCATGTAGCCTTCATAACATCTCACTTGGACTACTGCAATAGTTTAATAGATCTCCCGGCATCTGGTCTCTCCTTTCTCCAATCCAGCTCCAACACAGCTACCAAAATGTTCCCTGAGGCAGGATGTCACTCACCTGCTCAAAAATTCCTGAATTGAATTGAAAAGAGGGAACATTACAGGTCTTGTTAAATGGATCACTGAAACATAGGGTTTATCAGAGAGTGCATTTTGGCCGGAATGTGAAATCTGTGAAGAGGAGTAATATGAAATGAGGCCAGAAAGGCAGGCCAGAGGTACTGAGATGGGGCAAAAATAAGAGGCTGGGGAGTCTGTATTTTATCAAAGGCAATGGGGGGCCACTAGAAGGTCCTGAGTAGGAGAATAATATGTTCAAGCATGTGCCTTAGGAAAATGATTTTGCTAGCCATGTGGAGAATGAATTGGAGGGGCCAAAGATGAAGGATCTTGCTTGTTCAAAGAGCCACAGGTCAACATTACTTCCCCATACCAATGACCAGAGTAGCCTAAAATGAAAAAGACTTGAAGTATAAATTCATCTTAGAAAAATAAAGGAGGTAGGCGAAGGGAATACTCTAAAACTATAGCTAAGAGACATAAAAGGAGATTGTAAGGGGCTAAAATACAACCTTGCCAAGCCAACCAACTCCCTATAAAGCTAAAACTGTTTTAACATTCAGGTTACACAGAAGGAGGCTAGCAAACACTGTGGACAAGACCTGGCAGAAGAGGATCAGTCAGTAAGAGACAAAATTAAGAATGAGTGAGGCTTAAGTTCTCTGTAGTTTACAGGCAGGACCAGAACTAATAAGACCTTTGTTACTTTTAAACTTCTTTTTGATTACTGCCCCCCCTTCTTTTTTCTGTAGCACTTTGTAGAAAACTTAAAAACATTTCAAGAAAAGAATGTATGCCTTTTATAAGGAAACATAGCAAGGCAAGTAAAAAGTCTGTTATTTCCTACATGCAAGGTGGTCTGGTGGGAAAGCAGTTCATAAAGAGGGTTACAAGCAATAAGATACTAGTAGGGAACACTAGGCAGCCAAGAACTGAGGTTTACTGGTGGGGAAGGGGGGGGGGTAATTGGATCTGGAATCACCCGGAATCATGAATGGAAACAAAAAACTGAACTGGTTATCAGGAAACTTAGCTCTCAGCCCCACTTTTAAATGTAGCTAGCTGGCAATTCGCTTAAACTCTCTAAGCTTCAGTTTCTTCATCTATAAAATTAACTCAACAACATTTAATATTAGCATATATTTATATAGCACTTTATAGCTTACAAAGTGCTTTTCTTACAACCACCTTATGCAGCAGGCAGTGCAATTA